TAACTTAATCTAATCCTGAAGACGGACAAGGCGGGAACAAAATAGTATAAACTAATTAGAGATGGGCGCGAAGTGCCTGTTCGAATTATTTTTAAAAAATCACGTGTATTCTTTCCATTCACCACTCTGGGTAGTACGTCTCGAAAACTTATGCCAAAATAACTCCGATAAAATAACTCGGACTCAAAAACTTCTGCAAAAATAACTTCGCGACAAAAAAACTTTGACTAAAATAATTTCCCGATAAAACTACTTTGGGCATAATAACTTTGGCAAAGATAACTGCAGAATTATACTGTTATTTTTTGAGAGATATAGTAAAAAGCTATCCACATTTTTTCATTTTTTACAAAAATAACTTTACAATTTTCTAATTTTTTTGATAAACAATACAATGTACAATTTCAAATTTTTATTCATAGTTTTTCATTTTTCACAAAAATAACTTCACAATTTTCTTTTTTTTTTTTGATAAACAATACAATGTACAATTTCAAATTTTTGGCAATATTTTTCAGATATCTCCATTTTTCAATTTTTCACCAAAAATAACTTTACAATTTTCAAATTTTTTTGATAAACAATCCAATTTACAATTCCACATTTAAACAAAGATTTACCGCTCGGGCAGCCACGATTGTGATTGTGAAATTTGTCACATTAGTAAGGAGCCGGTAAATACAATTCATCGGATGAATATGAAAATATTATCAAAAGTTTTGTTCATGCAGAGTTATTTTTGTAAAAGTTTTTTTTTACAGTTATTGTGTCGCAAAGTTATTTAGACGGAAGTTTTTTTGTCGCAAAGTTATTTTTGAAAAAGTTTTTGAGTCCGAGTTATTTTGTCGGAATTATTTTTGCATAAGTTTTCGAGACATGTAGCCACCACTCTGTCCTGCCACAGATTCAAAGCGAATAGAAAAACAAGTGGGAAATTGCTTTTATATTGAAAATGGTATAGTTTTCTTTGCTAATAAATTAGCAATATGCTTCCGAATGGTGATCTTGCATCTTTTTTATTCTTATCGAAAATAATTCCTATTTCAATTTATTCCTTAATCATCTCCATACAATGCCGATGATTGTCATGAAATTAATAATTTTCAATCGTAATATATTTTGTTTTTTCATCCATTTTATATCCAACAGATTTGATAACCAACATTTGTGTAATTTTTAATTACCATTAATGTCGTTGGATGTGTTAAAATAATTCCATTCTAATCGATAATGTAAAAAATGAGTAATTCATGTTCAATTATTCAATCGTGTTATCGTTCTTTGATTGTTTCATTTAAAAAAGTGAATATTGTGTGTGAAGTTGGCAGAGTTGAATGATTCAAAATGTCTAAAGGTAAAATAATTTTTATTAAGTATCAAATTATTATTATCTTTTTTATTTTTTATTTTAGTTCGATCTTTAAGTCGATCTCTACTATATGTTGCTATGAGCAGAGTCCGTAAATTGGACGATCTGTACATCTTAGGACAATTTGAACCACCAAACGAATTATTGTCAAATGATCCCCTACAAAAAGAATATGATAAATTGGAACATAGAAAATTGAAGTTATCGTACACTGACTTCACAAAAAATGGAAATTTGAAAATTATATATCATAATATCCGTTCATTTAATAAAAATTTTCGGTACATAGAATGTGATCGATGGTACATGGAAGCAGATATTTTAATTCTTTCAGAAACTTTTACGGAATTGAATGATTATATTAACTTAGGAAATTTCCATTTAGTATTCAGAACGGATTCACATAAGAAAAGTTGTTCTCAAGGTATCTTCATTCTACAAAACAAAATAACGAAAATGAAATACTCCACTATGAATCATAAAAAAGTCAATTCGAAGAATGGACATTTAGATTTGATTTTGTTCCGAATTAATGACGTAGAAATATTAGCTGGATATAAATCCCCATCAATGAGCTACGCGATTTTTTTTAAAGAACTTAAATCACTGATTGAATCAATGGGCATTGGAAAACCGAAAATTATAATTGGCGATTTTAATTTCGACACTTTTGTCGCTGATAGTTCATTTGAAAAATATTTGAATTATCATCATTTTCAGCGCGGATTAGAATCACACATATCAACTACCAATTTCAATACTCAAATAGATATTATATTCATTAATAACCTCTCTCATTATTCGTGTGGAACTTATGAGTCTTTTTTTTCGGACCATAAACCAATTTGTCTTGAGTTACATACTCCGACTGTTGTACCGATTAATATCAATGAGAATTTCGAACCTACCATTACACCACATCAAGTAGGTACAGATACCCGAGAGAAAGACAATGAACCAAATATATCCTGTTATGAATTCGAACAATCAACAAAAAATAAATCGATAGACGAAAATGGGCATATTGAGGATGACATTATATCTAATCCTATTTTGATGAAATTTCAAGAGAAGGGTGACGCCTTTAATATTTTCAATGATGAATCGGCATCATCAACTAAACGATCTCCTGAACAACAAAGTATGTACATACTTAAAAATGGTAATATATGTGATCCAATAATCAATCAGGGTATTTCATTTTGCCTACAACAAACATGTGGATTTGACAGCGTTATTCAAATATTGATCGCAGCATGTAGTTTAGAAGGTTTCCGCAGTGACATCTTCCGTTCAAATGCCGTAGAATTCAAATTAATCAAATACATTATCATAAATGATGAGGTTGATGAACAATATGTTCAGCAGTTGAGATTAGATATTTTTCAGTCTAAAGAATTCTTCCAAAAAAAAAAAAATTATGGTCTGATTTGGTAATTTTCAGTGCACTGATGACAATATCAGAATTATGTCCCATCATTTTCAATCAGAATCCAAGTTATTCAGTGAAAATGGACTGTCCATTGTGTGGTCATAGAGAAATTAATGAAGTTATAATAGAACCCAGTTTCGCTGCAATATGCGAGTATGGTCATCTTTATTGCCAACATTTTCAAGGAATATTGCATACGACCATAGATGAAATTTTCAATGGAGTTAACACTGAGTGTACACAATGTACTATGAAGAGTATTCACTTTCATAACCATCTTTTTATTAACTGCCCATCAGATCACAATTTTCGAGTTCCATTACATAATTTCCCGAGAACATTATTCGTAAATAATAATCAATATGTTCTAGCCGGGATTGTAAATTTTCGTGATCCAGAAATCATCAATGAAAATAGCTTCGGACACTATACAGCATGCATTGTCAAAGGAGAAAAATGGATCATTGTAGATGATTTATCACCTACAGTTGTCGAAGTGTCATCATCCCATCGAATAAATCCCCATTTATGCATATACGTAAAATGAAAAAGTATTGCAGAGATGAAAAAAACAATCATCTACGGATTTGGCATTCCGAAATTGATGTGAACAAAATCATTATCATAACAAGAAACGAATAAAATTGGGATCATCGTCGATAGTGGATTTTCTAACTCCAGAATTGTTCTTTCGTTTTATTACTCAATGACGAGGATGAATTTGAAGAAATGAAAACAAGTAATCAATTCATTTTTCAAAAACTGAATCAAGCACATCAAATAATTATTATGAATTCTTTTATTCAAACCTTTCCTTGCGATTTTTTTCAGAATCTCTTATTGATCATGAGGGGAAGCTGCTCCAAATTCCAAACGTTCATCCCTAGTTACTGAGACAATAATTTCAGAAACGCTTAGAATGAAGTAATAATAGTGATACAAACCCCCCCCCCCCCCCAAAAAAACAACGTGATGTAATATCTGAACGCTCCCGGATGTAAAGTCGGAGTAACACTCTTTATTAATAATTGAATAGATTTAAATATTTTTCTCCACTACAATAATCAATCCAAGTGTATTTTTCACAATAGTGGAAAGTCAACAATCTTTTGAATACTCTAAAAATGATGATCGGACATTCTCATATGAATTAAGTCGAAAAATGATACTATTCAAAAATGATACTATGATAATACAATTTTCAACAAAATTTTATTAAGAATATTTTAATTTTATATAATATGAAGAATCTGAAACCTTTTCCATCAGATTCTTTTCGAAGAATCTGATGGAAAATTCAAAATATCGAAAAACATGAGAATGATTCTCAAAATCTTATATAAATTCAAAGATAGAGTGAAACTTTCTATTATACCTTAGAATTCCACTATAATCATGTTTAAAAAAAATTGTTTGATGCAAGAATTGATAAATTTGAGCATTACATTAGATGAAACTACCAGAAATTTGATTTTCATAAAAAATTCATGAAAAATTCAAAATTTTCATGAATGATCATAAAAATCCAATTGATCAAGACAGTTATCATGCTCATTCTTCAACTACACATTAATGACATCAAAACAAATATTTTAACCTATGGTTCACTCCATGAAACATCATAAATTAAAAGAAATTTGTAAAAATTAAAATTTAGAAAAAAAAATTGAATTAAAAAAAAATCCGAATAACTATTAAAGTTATGATCTTCATCTTCGAACTCGGTCGAGAGGACATCCCAACAAATTTTTTAAGCCATAGTTAAATGAATTTAAAACTTTTTTTTTTCAGCTATCGTATGAAAACTGATTTTCGAAAAAATTCAAAAATTAAAAAAATGAATGAATGAATTAAATTTTAATTAATGGCGATGGATAGGGCTAGATAAGACCTACATTTGATAAAAAAAAATTTCTTCGATTCCATTGTTTCCTTAGCAAATAATTGAGAAAAATGGTTTTTACATATGCACCCACATACATACATACATACGGACACCGCCCAAAAATTGCATTTTCGGACTTTTTGGATCATACTTGGTTGATATAACACAAAAAATGCAAAACTTAAATTTGGTCGATTACAATGCTTCCATTCGGAAGCAAAAATAGGAGAAGAATACAGACTGGATTATCTAATCGCGCTCTTTATCTTGCATTGTTATCGTATTTTTCTCAATGAAATAAAAATTACTGGACGTATGTGTGAGTTTGTTTGTTTATTTAAAAAACAATTTGTTTATGACTATATTCATGAGACCGGTATTTTCGCACATTTCATTTCATTTTCCCATTCGTTGGATAGACCATTCCTGCTGGCAAAGGGGGCAGCGATTGTTCTGTTTCACCCATAGGGACATGCAGCAGTAGTGAAACGAGTGGTTACATTCACCCCAAACTACAACGCAGTCTTGACGTCCATAGAAGTCCTTCTTACTTTCAGCCTGACAGCGCAAACATGCATCTAGAAAAAGAAACAGTAAAAAATATTTAGTTATTCGTCGACTAAAAGTTTACTCAATTTTTTTTTTATGAATGCATCCAAACCAAATAGTTTATTCTGCTAAAAAAATTACAAAAATATATATAATTGTTTGCGTATCAATCTAATATTTGGTAAATCTTACAATAAGTTTACTCAGTGATAACCAAATTTCACGCGTAGGATTACCGTATTCATCTCTACAATTTTAGTTTCAGTGATCGATTCGCTTTGCTTATATAATCATCTGGAATTCATTGACGTAATTACGTGCCTGAGATATGAAATACATGCGACGAGTCCCCTTTCGTGCAGCAACTATACTAAGAGGAAAATAATTGTTAGCCAGTAAAAATTGTGCGAATCGACGAAATAGTTTTTTGATGATTACCGAGATCGGAATTCGTCCGTGAAACATATGCCATTTTCAAACATGAGTAATAAGATATTTTAATGACAATGGATCATTGAAAATCTTTTTTTTTTTATGCTTATTTTATATCGCTTCGAGTCTGATGAGACTATATGGCGATTGATCAAGACTTTAAAAATGGTTAGATCTCACCATTCTACCCGGCCAAGAATCGAACCTGGAACCTATCCGTTGTGAGGCAACGGCCTTAACCACTACGCCAGGCCACCGGGCAAATCATCGAAAATCTGATTTGAGGTAGGAAATTTTGGTAATACTTTGTTGATGTTTCACTCGAGATTTAGAAATCGCAGCCTGACCATATCGATATTTCTGCTCTACTCTGCACTGAGAAGACAAGAGTTTTTGAGAAGTACATTTTTACTTGTATCAAGAAAATTACTAAACGCACAATATCTCATACTAAGAAAAAAAATCTTTCGCCAAGAAATTTTATACTTGTCCGAAAGATGAGGGCAATTGGTTCATATAAAGAAAACGAGTTCTCAAATTAATTCAAGTGGTTTTTGCATTTAAATATTTTAGCATTGAGGCTGAAAAACAATTAAATGAATTAATTCAATTTTACATGGTTTGAGAAATTGATTATTGTCATCAAGAAATTGTCCTCGTCGTTAGGACAAGTACAAAATTTCTTGACGAAAATTTTTTTCTTCTTAGTGCAAGATATTTTGCTCTTGAAAATATTCAAGCCACGAATTTCTTGATATAAGGAAAGACGTACGTCTCAAAAAAACTTTGTTTTTCTCAGTGTGAACAATTAATTCAGGAAGATCATACCTCTCATAAACGCGCACGAAAAAACTTAATAGACAAACCTAGCGAATTCGTTAGAAAATTTTATTGGATTTCTATTGAACTTTCTGTTAGTTTTTGGCCAATTCTATGGAAATGTTCAATAGAAAATATGCAATAGAAAAAGTTGATAGAATTAAATTTTCTATATAACTTATTCTTTTCAGACATTTTTTATAGAATTTCTATTGGGTGAAATTTTCTAGGTTTTCTTCATTCTATTTTTCCATTCTTCTTATCAAGAAAATCAAACAAAAAAACTTAGAAAATTTGAGCCGAAGAAAATCTATAGAAAATATCTCAATAAAATAAATTATATAGAAAAATCGAATTCTATTGACTTTTTCTATTGAACATTTCAATAGAATCGGTCAAAAACCAATAGAAAGTTTAATAGAAATCCAATAGAATTTTCTAACAAATTCGCTAGGTTTTTCTATTAATTTTTTTTCATCCCTGAAGTGAAGCTAAATGCAAAATACTTCGCTCAAATTGCAGGCATGCCATCATATCGTCATTGTTACTCTATTAATTGACAAGCTGAAATGACTAACTAATAACAATCCCGTTCAATCAAATTTATAGATTTTTCTGGAACGAAGAATATTAACCAAATGGCTATTTGAAAATAGTTATTTCCATGTTTTGCATAAAATATTTTTCAAGGCCAAAATAGGGATGCTAATCCTGGAAATGGAATTTCTTGTTTGACCAGAGAATAGAAATTTTCTAGAACATCGAGATCTAGTTTTGCAGTAAAAATGTTTCATCTTAGGACACTTCAAATGCTCAACATAAAATGTTTGGAAGTTGGTAATCATCAACGTGCGCATTTGGTGGTAGAGGTAAGATTTGTTTGAGGATATTTTTTTCATCAGTTTACACCAGTTCATCAACAAAAATATTACTTGAAGAACGTTTTCAAGATTTGAGAACTCTCGAATGAGTGAGAATACGTGACAATTCAGAGGTGAAAATTTCAGTCCATCAGCGCAATGTAAAGCAGCTCTTTATTCTGCAATCTCACGTTTGTTACCAAATCGCAAACGTAAATCCTGAGTTTTTAATTCAATATTTTTTTTTTACTTCCAGAACAGCGAAGAATACATGAAGGAAACTAGAAAAAGAGATTTCACTAATGCAATTTCCAGAAAAAAAATAGAAATATCGGCGTTAATAAATCGAAGGAAATAATGAGAAATTTGCGTTTATAACGCCTTGCATTACGATAAATTATCACAAGAGTATGTTTCTCACTCCTTTATAGCAGTATAATTGAAACGTGAAGCTGTGCAAGATTATCAATATATAACACTCTAGAATCCAAATAGCATTGAAATGAATACATTAAAACCTCTCGTCAAATAATTTCAATCGGATATGCACGACTAGTTGCCAGTATATTTCCACTAGTGTTTTATCGAGAAAAAAACTCAACAGCATTATCCACATCGCTGAAGAGCTATTACTCATCATCGATTCTCGGATCTTTGATTTACTTTATAATGTGGGATATCGTAATACAATAAGTTCGATGCACTGACCTGTCTCATTAAATGTGGAAACACAACACATAAAATTAAGGACGCAGCGTCACATGCTAATTTTCTGATCTGGTGACAATAAACCATTCAATAGAATCATCATAAAACAGTGGTTTAAACCTAGCAAAACACTGACCGCAAACAAGTGGGAAATTGCTTCCATCACAACATAGTTAATATATTTTTGCTAATAGACTAACAATTTGCTTCTGAATGGAGTTTCTATAACGATGTACTTTGAAGTAAATTCAATGATTCCTTCAACATTACTTGAAGGTTGGCAATTAACATTGCCCCAACGTTGAAATTTTTTACCTTAACCCCCTCTAAAATTATCTGCATGTATGACCTTGCAAAAGTTGAACTTGAAAAGATGATCCGTTCCCCTTCTCCTCGTTATGCTAATCCTTGAAGCGTGAACGGAATCGCGTCATGTTTATACGGTTTAAATAGATAATACTATAGGCCTGGTATTCAGACAGGGATTATTCAATTAAATTCATTCAACACGTGCTACGGCTGAGCGCGTGGGGATAACACGTACTCAAAGCCAGAAGATGGAACACATCATAGGAATGTCGGGACAATTGGACAAAAAAAAAAGTATCAACTGAAAAGTTTTCATACGCAAATTATGGCAATCTTATTAAGTAAATTTTGCATTGTCAGTGATTCTTTTGGTGTTTATTAACATCTTGTTTTCTGTTCCAGAATTTGTCTTTCCACTTTTCTTTTGTCTGTCCTCTCTCTACGTGCTGTTTCATGCTGATTGCGCGAAAGCCACTCGCCGGTTCTAGTAGGTTATCAACGTCATACCACTATATTATAAACAAATGTCAATTGAATATACGCGAAGCATTATGGTAATTGGGATGGAAGCTAAACCAATGCGCTCGGCAGATGGGGTATAGTTCGTCTCCAATGGAAATTTTTGTGATTGTACGGGGGTAATAAAGATACCACGTATGAATGATTATCGATTGAACGTTGAGATAATTGAAACTAAGGAGATGTAAGGATGAGAGGAATATCCCCAGTTGATTCGAGTAATGATAAATGTATTGTAAATTAATAAATCGAGGCTCAAAACTCACAACAACTTTGTTTATGTTTACATGGAATAAAGAATTGAGATAAAATCGGTAATTAACGATTTAAATCTCAATTGGCGACGAGAGTAGAAGGGGAATTTGAGGATTTTTCCACTGTCTGCGTAAGGCTCTCTTGTTGGTCTTCACATTTGACCCGAACCATTGACTCCCATCATCATCGCTCGCATTTGAATTGTACTATAACGAAATACAATCAGCTGGAAATTTATGATTTAATTGGGTTCCAACTGGAACATTCGAGATGTCATTTTGAAAAACATATTAAATTAATGAATGAAGCTAATAATTCCAGTTTCATTCAACCCAGTCCCTGCTTTCGATTCACGGAAGAATTGTTCAACTCGATTCAACTCCCATTATGAATTATCAACGATAGCATTAAGATAATGCATTATTAATGATATTGTGCAGTATAAAAAAGCCAGCTTTCCGTAATGAATGCTGAAACTTCGTCGTTCCTGTACAGTCGATGGAACGTACTGGAAGATGAGGGAATATTCGAGAGTATCGCGATGGTATCGCCACTAATTAAGCGAACATTTTATGATGTACCTTCAATTTTCCTGATGATGAAGTTTTTTCACCGAACATTCTGGAATATTTTTTTCATTAAAAATTTCAGCCAATAGAATAATGCAGTACTTGACCTTTGGCGTACGGAGAGAAATGTTCAGTAAAAATTACGGAACTCATAGTTCGCTTACCAATTACGGAATCGACCCAGAAAATTTAAGTGACGGTATCGTTTTTTTCATCAGAGATTCAGATAAAAAGATCCGTAATTTTTATTGATTATTTTTGGTAATCGGATCTGGCGTCCCCTGGACCAACCGGAGTTCAGTATTCAATAACATGAAGTACTTCGCAATTAAAATTACAGCGGTTATTTCCCCCTAGCTTTTGATAATTTCCCTGTAGCTTTTGATAGATTCCCTCTAGCTCTGCAATTGTTTCTCTAACCAAACAAGTGTCAAATATTATCCTGTGGAGTGAAAGAAAGTCATGAAGAAAGTCAGATCCGATTACCAAAAATAATCCGTCGAATACCACTCGACCTCCAAAATTAATCGAACATTTCCCTCATGTTTTCCTGTGTATCAACGATCGGGATGAGTTTTGCACGAAAATCCCTCGCGCTGAGCGCTCGAGATTTTAATCTGCAAAACTTCTTCCTCTCGTTGCTACGCAACAAAACAATCGGGAAATATTCGATAATTTTCGAGGTCTCGTGGTATTACTATTGAATATTTCTCTCCGTGCGGAGGAGGGGAGACAGAATTATTTCGATCATTATTTCTCCTAAAATTTGGACCAATAGAATCGTTGCGGTGGACGAAAGTACTGTCGGATTGACTAATCCGTTCTCTTGGTTTTCAGAGGTGGGAGATATGGATGTGCGTGGGGATTAGGTAAAGTGGGGGTAACTAGGAAGTAAATGGGCTAGTCAGTGTACCCGTATAGGATTTTAAGCAGGATATGTTTCGAGAATTTTTCCCTGCGATTAGCAACCGACAAAGTATCCACGAACAATTATTTGGCGGAAATTTCAAGGAGAAAAATGCTCCGACAAGTTCCCCTCGAGCTTCAAAATTAATCGAATATTTCGAAGCTCTTGGGGTATTACTACTGACAATTTCCTTACACTAAAGGAAAGCTCTTGGGGTATTACTTACAGTAATTGGGGGCCCAGTGATATCTTCACATCATTTTTGTTTTGATAATTGACCGGGCAACGGGTGAATTATCAAACTGATAATTCCACAGTATCAATTGTTTTCCCTTCCTTTGACAGATATTCCCCACATTTTCGTGAAGTGTCACATAATTCCGAACACCGCACACTGTTCGACTAAAATCAGAATATTCCCTCAATTTCCCTGCGAAGAAACGAGAGTATTAAGGAGATTCAAGTATCTTTTACAGTTTGGTGCAGACCCCACTATAGATTTAACCATTTTCAATCATCAAATTTGTCAATTAGATTGCATGAGAAAAATTAAAAAAAAAAAACATAAATATACTGTTAAAAATTTTCGTCCGAATTTTCCGTTCCAAATCCCGGAAATTTTCATCGTGTTCAAGTTGAACTGAACAGTTCAATTATTCTGTAAAAATTTAGATAAGTCAGGAAATTTCAGGGAAAAATTGAAAATTTATGTCATTTTGTTTCTGAATATTCATGTCCCACTGAAAATTCAATCAAGTTGTGAAGTTTCCGTCTCACTCCCACAGAAAACTCATTAATTTGCGTGAACTCTACTTAAAACTTGAAATTTTATAACCATTTTTCCCTGAATTCGATTCAATGTCAGTCTCCTGAGATTTACTATAATATCTTCCATGAAATTTCAAACACTTTCTAATAGTGTATTCAGCATCATTCATATTACATTTCACACAGAATTATTAATTTTTTAAACATTCATTGTTTATAAATAAATTATTTAAATTGTTTAAACATTCGAAAAGAAATTTTTTTAGGCGTGAAATCGATTTTTGATAAAATTCTGCATTAGAATAAATTTGTTACGATTCCGATCACATGACATTTATGGTGGAAAATTGATTGTTTATGAAATATTTATGTCCGTAAAATGCTCGTAATTTTCAAAAAATTGCATTTTTTAAATTATTTCATCAATCTTCCTCCAAAAGAAAACTTTCTAATTTTCTTCAGATTTACAAAATGTTGTCTAACGGTTCAATATCGACATTCAAACTCAGACATGCAAATTTTAAATAATAAAATCATTGTAAAATGTCCGGAGACTTAGGATCAAATGGGGCTCAAATGGAAGCTTTGATGTTTGACTATAAAAGTAAAAAAGCATTTCACTGAAAAAAAATTCCCAAAGTACTTGGATATCCTTAAGTTTTGCAAAAAAAAAATCATTTGTTTGCAACGAAGCTTTCGGGAAATATCCGATTATTTTTAAAGTCTCGGGGTATTACAACTGATAAATTTTCCATTTTTTCAATTTGATTGTATTGCTATGTATAAATGAAGTCTTTACATGAATATGGCTCTAACCCGCACAAACGTTGAATAGCTGCACTCCATCACTCAATTCAAACGAAAAAAATTATCCAAACGAATGACATGTGAATAATTCGAAGCTATTGCGTGAATTTTCCTAAGCTTCCCTGCATACCATTGATTGCGGAAAATTTTCCAAAAAATCCATTTAACTGAAAATTTTTTCACTATCAAATTTCCCCTCATTGCTACGCAGCGAAACTACCGAACGAATTTTCGACAGTTTTAGAGTTATAGGGGAATTCCGGTTGAAAATCACGGAATCGTTATTGGAGGATATCTCGAATCTATCGATTCGTCAAACCATCATTGCAGGAACACGAAGTGTGGTGAGGGGAAAGAATGCGTCGAGAACAAAGTCACACGAGCCGACAATCAAAATCACCGTGAATCATAGACGAGACATACAGCTGATGACGTTGACGTAATGTAAACTTTATTCTTTTCGGATTGCCTGAAAAGATTACAATTCGTTATCAAATCTGATTTTATTCCGTATTACGTAAAGGAATTCTCGCACTATGAACGAAGAAAGGGGATACGAAAAACCACCTGCCCACCACCTGCCCACAACTCAAATGATGAAATCCCTTCCACTTCAAACATTATTAGATGGAAATGTTGTGATTATTCCTAGAGATATTGAAGTTAGAATGAACCACCGAAGTATCAACAATTCAATTTAAAAGAGTCACATCTACACGGGCGAGCCCAATGAATCATAATAATGTGGATGTGAATGTGGAGAATTGAAGGTTGAAAGGCGTCAAAAATATGCCAATTTGCGTTAAAATTTATTCATTCAAATTTACTTGATATATGGCTGTATTGAAGTGGGACACGCTGTTAAAAATTGTTGCCAGAAATTTCCGATACACTTTTTGGAAATTTTTATCGAATTTAATTATCACTGAAATTTCAGGGAATTTCGTCATTGAAAATTCAGAATTTCGTGGAAAAATCAAAGAGAACTGTCAACCAGAAAACCAGAAAATTTTGGTAAATATATTCTTGAAATTTCGGCACAGTAACACTGAATGCGATTTAGGGGGAAAAAAATCATGAAATTTCAGATTTCACTGAAAATTCAATGTATTTTGGCACTGAATATTCAAATTAGATTGGAAATTCAAATAAATTATACTGTTAGAAATTTTTTGAAATTTAAGTAACAGATGCATTTGAATTTTCAATATTCGAAACTTGAACTCAATTTCAGACTGAATTGCTCATGGAGTTTCTGATTCATCTTGAAAATTCAATAAAATTGAGTTTTTCATGATGAATCCATCATTGAATTTTCAATGACAATTTGGATTTTCACACCAATTACGAAAATTAAGTATTACATTCAGTCGAATTTTCAAGAGATTGAAAATTCAGAAGAAAATTTGTCTGAATGTTCACGATTTTCAGTAATTTTTATTGTCGTATGAACCTGAGAAATCAAATTTCGTGGAATATTCAAGAACATTGACTGATTCATATTTATATTTATTTATATTTATATTTAATAACAAGATCATTGGAAATTCTATGTAAATTATTCGTTGTTAAGGGGTGACTGCTGAGTTTTAAAAGTCGTGGGATATTGACTTAGATTTCTCACCCATTGAAGATCGATTATGTATGTCTAAAAACGAATAATTAGTGCAATAAAATTAATTGTTTATCGTTCGTTTGCCTCGCAGACGTTTAAAATGTTAAAAATAGTCCATGGCCTCTAATTTGCTAGATACAGATGTTTTTTTCAACATTTTTGAAACAATGTGTACAATAACAATTACAATTAATTACAATTAATTTTTTTGAAATTCAACTCCTAAACAGCTAATTTCGTTTTGTATAATGTAAAAATTTGCGCTATTCATGTAAACTAGGCAGAAAAATTATTCTTAACATATTAAAAATACATTCCCGATTCTTTCAGAAATATTTTTCGGGCTATTTTACATGAATGGTGCAATTTTTAATGAAAATAATAATGAAATTAACTGCGTAGAAGTTGAAAAAAAAACCTCTGTAGCTCCAAAAATTGGAGGCCCTGGACCATTTTTAACATTTTAAGCGTTTGCGAGGTAAACGAACAATAAACAATTTTTTTTGCACTAATTATTTGTTTTTAGACACATATAATCGATCTTTAATGTATGAGAAATCTCATTGCAATAGCCCACGATTTAAAACTCATAGTAGTCTCCTCTTAAAAATTTCAAGATTTTTTACTTGAAAATTTCAAGTGTAATTTTTAAATAGTGTAACGACTTCTCGTCTTTATGCTGCTTAAAATTCTGGAATTTTCGTGAATTTTCAGTGAAACCTGGAATTTCATGATTTTTATTCCCCGAAATCGGATTCAGTGTCACTGTCCTGAAAATTAGTAGTCAACTATCCACGAAATTTCATTTTTTTTCTAGCAGTGTACACAGAGTAACCCCATCTCCTGATCGATGGCTGCCATTAATACAGTCCTCAGTATCCCTCTCTCCGTAATTTTTTTCAATCCAATATACTATACGCCCGCGCGATTCCCTGGTTGGTCGGTTTTCCACCATACGAGATTGTACGAAGGCAACCGACGTTAGGACTGGCGCCTGCAGCCCAATGATACTCTCCCCCAGGGCTCGACTTGTTGGCGTATATAAAAGGAACCAATTCACTGAGGATCAGATTAGCACAGTTGTTAAACTGACTAGAAACATCCTTCGACTGTTATTCAAATAAAAAATAAATATCTCAAAATCATACAAAATTATATGAATCGTTCTAAAGCGCACGTCATTCAAAATAGCAAATCGTAATTTATATTTGTTAAAGCAGCCGTGAATCGTAAATTTTCATGTTTAAACAACTGCGATTAGAGTTCAGGAAAAGATAATAATATCTATTGATCATTTTTTTATAAAAATCTGAAACGTGAAGTACGTCTTACTCAGAGCGAATATACGACGTAGTGAGGGAAAAGGAGAGAAAGTATTGTCTGACGGAAAGAGACAGTGCAGCATATACACTGCCTGGATACTATAGCGAGCAGACACCCTGGTGCAGAACGTCAGGAGACAATCGGCAAGTCAGACCGGACTACATACCTCCAGACAGTTATTAGTATCAAACCCGCACTAATAAGAAATCAAGTGAACGTGGAATTTATTGAATAGACATTCTCACACCTGACCAAGGAACTTTGAACTCTTCCGAAATTATAAAAAAAAAATTGTGCAAAAGGATAAAATAACGAAAATGTCATCCCAAAGGCGGCAGATGATGCAACCCTGGCCTCTGTGCATTATGCCCTTCTCCAAGCGCAAGGTGAGTTATATTTGTCAGATGTTACGAATTATTTGCATTGCTAAACTATTCATCATTCAAAATATTGTCAAAACCCAATGCACTTGTCACGTCGGTACGGAAGGAAGTCTTTTACACAACGCCGGTGTTCACATTTGGAATTAATTTCTTTTATGTCGCGTTGTATTCATTGTCCTTATCTTACCAACAGCGACTACTGGTATATCGAACCTTGTTCCTCAAAGCCGGTTCATAGGCTTCTGGAAAGTTCCGCGCGTTTCCGTTTGACTACGCCACAAGCCGGGGCTCGCCTCTGACTTACTGGCCTCATCACATTGCTTCTCTCTCTCGCTCTTTTTGCTTTGTCTATTTTAGGCCCCACCATCGTGATAATGTTACATACACTAGTAGTCGCCGAGGTAAACGACTATTTTCCAATGCTTTTTGAACCCCTGGTCATGAATCCGTCGGTAACTAAGTCTGGAAATATGCCTCATGATTTTTAACACCAATTCTCTCAATTTCCCTGGAGCCTAAATTATGAGACTTATGAGGAGAAAAGGGGAAAAATATTGGCAATTCGATGTAGTGAATAGTTTTACTCTTTCCAATTATATCAATGTAATATTTTTAACACCGAAATTACTCCAATCGTTTCATTTTAATCAGGATTAAAAATGGAAAGAATCGTAAGAAAAAAAAACGATTCTTCCACTATTTGCCAACGTTTCGAACACAAAATTTTTTAAAATTCTAATCAAAATTGCTATTATGAACGTTAATACCTGAGGAATTTGGAGGTTTTTGAAGATAATATTTTTAAATTATTTTTCGAGATGCTGACGCGGCAAGAGTTGCGTGCACTGGAACACATGATGCTTCGATACATATTATTCAGTAACGAAGTGGTAAAACGGTTCAAGTCAATTCTGACTATTGGCTAGTTTTCAATGAATATCTTGGAATCTGAGGGAGATAGCAAAATTTTGAGCTACAACAAATATAATTAGGAAAATTTCGCTATCTCCCTTGGATTGGGAAATATTCCTCAAAAACTCAACTCGGAGATAAGTCGAGTTAAACCGCTTTACCATTTTGCTACTGATATAATTATACAATTCTTCACTGCTGAATCGATTTTTTGTCGGAACACGAAGAAAAAAATCTGCTCAATTTATCAATCGTTCAAACAAACTGATCACAACTTTCAAAATGGTTTACTCTGGATCAATATCAATTGCGTTATTAATTCGCTCATGTGGCCACTGCACGTCAATTTTTTTCGAGGAAGCGAAAGAAAAATATCCACATGTCAACTGAAAATTCACACAACAATGCAGCTGACTTCTGCACAGTAAGCAGTGAGAAAAAAAAATTACTCTTGCCAAGTACTCATTTACTTGAGCGAAGCATTTATTTAAAAAAAAACAGATTTCTCCAATCGAGTCATTCCTAGGCAAGCCTGATTAAGTTTTAGTTATGAAAATCATGTTGTTCTAGAGGATGACTATGTTGCACATGATGTTGGATTAATTTTTTCAATGATTATTCATTTTTCCTAAATTTCTTATTTTCTAGAGGGAAGCATTTCCATTAGTTTTTTAATCAAATTATTGATAATTATTGAGGGAGTTCATTCAAGACCACAACTAATGGCCTTGATAGTTATCGAGGGAGTTCATTCAAGGCCATAACTAACATAATCATCCCTAAACTAATATAATTGCCATAATTGAAACCTAATGAGGACTGCCCGGTAATGACTCGACTGGAGACATACGGTATTGAACAAATAAATATTTCTCTCAAGTAAATGGATATTTGGCAAAAATAATTTTTTTTCTCAGTGCAAGTCCTTCCGCGCTGGTATTTCAAAAACTATCCAACGTGCATTATTTTTGCAAGAGAGTAAAATTATCCTCCGTTACATTTTCAATTTTCTTTCAACCTTTTTCATATCTTCCGTGTCATTATGCTAATACTATATGCACTATTACATTGGTAATAACAATGGATCGCCACATTCCTGCGCTCGAAAGCACCGAAAGTATAGCAGAGTCGCTTCAAATACGAGAGTGTGCCTGTGTACACGGAACCACCATGAGCGTAAGAATTGTATGCGGCGCATAGAACATTTTCAATGGTAACTGTTCGATCGCGTTCATTTCAGCAGTGTTCACATAATGACAACAACAGCGTGCTTGTGGTAGATGGATCAATATCGAAGCATTGTACTTTCAATACACACTGTTAAAAATTTCCGTCTGAATTTTCCGTAGCACCTTCTGGAAATTTTTATCGTGTTCAAGTTCCACTGAAATTTCAGGAAATCTTGTCATTGAAAATCAAATATTGCATTAATTTTCTGTTCAAATTATCTGGAAATCAATAAAATACTTGATTTTTCAGTTCAATTATCTTGTGAAAATTCAGAAAAATCAGGTAAATTCAGGGAAAAACAGAAAATTTGTGTCATTTTGTTTCTGAATATTCATGTTCCACTGAAAGTTCAATCAAATTGTAAAATTTCCATCTCACTCCAACGGAAAACTCATGAATGTCCGTGAATTCCACTAAAAACTTGAAATTTCATAACCATTTTCTTCCATTTATCCGAAATTTCCGGTACACTTTTTGAAAAATTTTATCGAATTAAATTACCACTGAAATTTCAAGGAATTTCGTCATTGAAAATGCATAATTTCATGGAAAAATCAAGGAGAATTCAAATAAATTAAGGAATTCTCGTCTTTACATTGCTTAAAATTCTGGAATTTTACTGAATTTTCAGTGAAACCTGAAATTTCATGATTTTTTTCCCCTAAATTGCATTCAGTGTCACTATCGTGAAAATTTGTTTTTGTGTACTGCTTCTCACAATTTCTCGTCTGGGAATTGGTATTACATACTTCCCAAACTCGAAAACTTGAAAATCACTACAGAAAAATATTGTTCCTGGGCTGTTGCGATGGGGTTTTTTACTCGTGTGGTTGGCCAGTCCTCGCCTACGGCTCGGAGGCCAACGCCACACGAGTAAAAAACCCCATCGCAACAGGCCGGAAAAATACTATTTTTTTCCAACAATGTATATCTTCCATAAAATTTCAAAAAATTTGTCGGATATAATTTCACTCAGGACACGGAGGTGATTCGCTTGAACACGAGTTTTATTTTCGTACTTGAAAAATATTCCATATAAAAATATTCCATTCTAAATCAAACCTATCCATCGGAAATGTCATCTAATGTCAATGGAAACGAGAAATAAATGGAGCAAAAATTGATGAACAGACAAAATTGAAGTTTTCTCGTGACATTTGTACCTCCGCAAAATCATTGACCCCTCCGGAGGAAAGATAATTAATGCACCTCGGAGGTTACGTGCATTTTTGAAAGGAACTGGAGACTGGTCGTCACGTGCAAACAGTCACGTGTGCCAAAGCATGGTTCACCGACATTATCAACCGAGTTTATTTGCCGATCTTATCGTTTAAAAGACCCCCTTACCGTAATTGATGAAAGGCACAAGAATCTTGAATAATAAATTTGCTTTCAAGGTTGAAATGTTTAATTATTAGCTATTTCTATTTAAATTAAATAATTTATTTCTCGTCAAGATTCACTCGAATGAGCGGCGGCCTCCGCAATTGAATGATCGGTTATCGGTGTTTTTTCGCATTGACGCATGCCATTAAATACTGGTCTTGACAATTGTCATAGCGAATTGTCATAACGATAGTCGGTAATGAACTTGAAATATGCAGTATTGGCTTATCGCTAGTAGTACATCAGCAAATAGTCCATAGACGGGGAGAAAAATTCAATAAAAATTACCAGAAAATAAAAACGTAAAAATTACGCTTCGAAACGTAATCCGCGAGCGAAGTAAAATTCAATAAAAAGTTAGAGTCGGAACTGAAACTGTAGGAATCGCTACGTAAATTCTACGATTTGTTCCGTAAAAATTAATCACTCGTCTAATGACTCTCTGCTGTGGGGACAAGGAGTCGTTCCGTAATTTTTCCCCAACAATTGAGAAATTTTACCGAACGAAACGTCGAAATAACTCACCATCTTCATAAAAATTGTTGAATGTTCAAGAATTTTTGATTTTGGAGGCGTAATCAATCGGGAATTTTCTGTAAGACTTTACTTCTTCGGGAAAAATTACGTGACAATTTCGTACTTTGTTCGGTGATGAACCTGAAAATTCACTGAACGTTTCAGATTTCTTCTCTTCCATTCCTATAACAATTTCCGGAAAACGACTCCCCATTGCGGATTACGTGAATTGTTTCGTAATTTTTACTGAATATTTTTCTCCGTGTATGCCTTTATCCCGAGTATGGGGGAAAAATGAGCCAGTCTTTACAAAAAAGAATGGCAGAGTGCGAATTTTTCGATTATTTTTTCCTTCGTATTGTGATCAATGCACTTAAAAGCATTGATAAGAGCCGAAAAATTGAAGAAATGAGAGGTTTTCCGGTTAGATACTTTTCGGAGAGGATGACTCTAGACTATTTTGATGTTAGTGAATGGATTAATCAGGTAAACTACGTCATAATCCGTATTTCTTCGTGAACAATTTCTGTTTATGTACATGTGATGAGATATAAGTTAAGACGTGATAGAACAAACTAATCTTGTGCTGACGTTTCGTCTAGTAAGATTCTTGATAATTACCAAGAATTATTATTACATAAATACGGAAATATTACATAAATGAAGAAAAAACGTTCAGATAAGTGATAAAATGACAATTTCATAATTGGGCCAAAGCACCTCCCCTCCCCCCTTCCACTGGAGTTACGACCACCCGTTTCTGGGTCGATTTTTTTTTCAAATTATGTGACATCGCCCTGACTACATTTCTGGCTTTTATTTTGCGAATCCGGCCCATAGTGTAAATGATTAGATCGTGCCATTCCACCCGACCGAGATTTGACCTTGGAATCCGTCGCATTCGAGCCAGCAAAATTATCTGCTGCGCCAGTCAAGCACTCAGAGGAATGGTTTATTCGAATTACATAAACTTTACATATTTAAATAGAACAATGGATTTAACCAAATAGCTTATAATTAAGCTTTCATTCAAAGATGAAAGTTGATCCTGATTTCCGTTTCGATTCACATCAAATGAATGGTATTTTAAAGATAAATAAATATTCTCTACACTGTTGGAAAAAAAAAAATTTTCTGGGCAGTTGACTAATTTTCAAGACAGTGACGCGGAATGCTATTTAGGGAGAAAAAAATTATGAAATTTCAGGTTTCACTGAAAATTCATTAAAATTCTAGAATTTTAAACAGCATAAATAGGAGAATTTCTCAACTTATTTGAATTTTCAATCTAATATGAGTATTCGGTGCCAAATTACATTGAATTTCCAGTGAAATCTGAAATTTCATGAGTTTTTTCTCCCTAAATCACATTCAGTGTCACTGTTCTGAAAATTCAAGAATATATTTACCGGAATTTTCTGGTTTTCTATGCATTTTCAGGGAAAATGAAATTGAAATTTACACTTCTTCTCTTTGATTTTCACTTTCATTGAAATAACTATATGAGTTTATTAATTTCCAATAATGGCAGCGCAACACTGTCGGCCGGCTCTGCGATTGAGGTTTTCCATGGGTTTCCTATCATTTCTAGCCCGACTGTGGAACAATTGGGGGGGGGGG